GGGGGGGGGGGGGGCATGCTGGCTGCAGGCGAGGGTGTGAGTCCAGCTGGTGACCTTGAGCAAACCCCGCACTCTCTTGGCATCTCTTTCCTCGCCTGTAAAATGGGGGTCGCTGCGTTTGTTCCGCCCACACCCTTGGGCTGTAGCGAGCCTGGCTAATGCACGGAGGAGCCCTCTGCAAGCTCCGACAGGGGTCCAGAAACACTCTCGATAAGTCAAGTGGCCCGGAACCCAGCCAAGAATAGAGCCCCGGAGCCAGGCACTAGACTCGAGCCATCCAGCTGTCCCATCCTCGGGCAGCCTCAGTTTCCACCACGAGAGAGAACATTCCAGATGAAAACCCAGCGCTTCATCTCTAGAGGACAAGAGGCGGTTTGGGGCCAGGGGTCACACCGAGGCCCCGCTAGGCTATGCAGGTGACTCAGGCCAGTTCTACAAACCCTCTAAGCCTTGGTTCCTCCCGCTGTAAAATGGGTGATATCACTGCCTGCCTCGTACAAGCTAGTGGGGACCGAATGCACTAGCACCGGGTGCCTGGCTGGCGCAGTCAGAGTGTGGGACTCCTGACCTCCGGGGTTGGGAGTTCCAGCCCCGCGCCGGGTGCAGAGACGACAATAAACAACCGACGCACTACCGTCTGCACACACACATCACACACACACACACACACCGACCGCGTATCGACGGCCCCCTGGCATCCAGCGAGGCCATCAGATTAGGTATAGGTGCGGCTCACCCTGGGACCAGGCAGGATGCGAGTGGGGCAGGGTGACCTGCTACCTGCAACCTGGAGTGACCTTGGCCAAGCGGCCTGCCATCCGTAAGCCTGTTTTCCAATCTGTAAAACGGGGCCGAACACAACAGCTTCTATCCCACGGAGTTGCAAGGACAGCCAAGCGGATCAGTAACGGTCCTTAGAACGGTGCCGGGTACGCGGTACGTGGTCAGGGAGCATGAGCTGCTGGAATCGGCCCCGGTGAAGCCACCCGGGCCCTCGGTGGTTGCCACCGGCAGCCTGGCTTTGTGCCACTCGCAGGTCTGAGGTTCGCAGAACCCGCTTGCAGCCTGGGTGCCGTGTCCCCCACCCCCAGCTGGAAGGCGGCCTTCGCCTGCGTCTCGGCTGCACGCTTTCCCCTCAGAGCCCCGGGTTGAAGCCCATCCTTCCAAAGCTCTGGGGCCTCCCGCTCCCTGACCTGTGAGCCCAGCCCGGCCCCGCGGAGGGCAGCGTCTTGTTACTTCGAGAACACGCCAAAGAGGCCGGCTTAACCCAAAATAACTTTACTGTGGTCTCTGCTTTTGATATAAAAGCATCCTGGAACCCCAGCCCACCCCACCGGGGGCCCGAGCGTGGCGGTGTCACCAACTCTGGCTGGGGCCCCACAGGCTCTTCGGCTCGGAGGGTCAAGCCCCAGGTACACCCCCCAGCTGTCCGTTTCCATGTCCCATCGACCCCCGGGGGGTGAGCCACGGTGCAGTGCAGAAGTGGAAGCCTGAGGCTGACCGGACTCGGCGAATCACAGGCCCTTCCGTGACCCTGGTTGTTGCAGAAGGAGGGTGCGTGCGCCAGCTTCCAGCCGTCTCTAGGGGAGACTGAGTGTTGGGGTCCCCCTGGGCAGAGGCTGGGTTCGCCTGAGGTCACAGCACAGCATTTTACTCTTCCTGAGTTCTGGGGCTCCTCCCGGTCAGTGACCCTGTTGCTGGTGGGGTCGGTCCGTCCCAAGCTCTGGAGAGGAGGACGAACGGGGGGCGCCGGGGTGCGCTGAGTCCAGGGCTTCACCAGGGACCCCGGGGGCTCCCTGCGGTGTGCGGTGAGCTCGGTGACCTCAGTTTCCTCCAAATCCCGCCGAACGAGGCAAGGACTGGGCAGGGCCCATGCAGTGAGTCCGGAGCAGGGGGGCTGCGGGAGGGGCCTGGGGTCTGCCAGGAGGTGGGGGGAGGGGGTGTCCTTCCAACTACAGCAGCTGTAGCTGCACCTTCAGCCGCAAGGCCCGGCCCCCTGGTCCCGGCTGCCCCTCCGGCCAGGTGCCCCAGGGCCCTGCCACGCTCACCACCTCCAGCCGGTAGGTTCCAGGCCCGGGCCTCCGACGCCCCAACTGCAGGGAGCTGAGGCCACGGAGGTGATGCATGCGGAAGAAACCTTGCTCATTGCCACGGGCGATGACATAACGGACCCGTCCCGCCAGGCTCTCCAGCGCTGGCTGCAGCTCCAGGATGTGCTCGGCCTGGCTCAGGCGTGAGAGGTTCAGGCCCAAGGTCAGTGGGGCCTCTGAGTCAAGGCTGGCCAGGCTCACCTGTGGAGAAAGACCAGGCAGAGGACGGTGAGGGGCGGGGAGCGTCGGAACGCAGTGGGTAGGGGACCACGGGGTCACGGCTGAGAGATTTCAGCCAGTCTCTAAACTGGAGGACAACCTGGGGCACTCTCCGCCTTTGACCTCCATCTAGCCCTCTGTCACAAGGCCCACCATCAGCTTGGGCCACAGACAGAGGCGTGACAGCGGAGGCGGCTTCCCCAGGGGAAAGCAAAGACAGGCAGATAGGCGGCCACTTGTCCACACGACACTGAAGCCACCACAGTGAGAAACACAAGACCTGGCTGCACCAGAGAGGAGCTGCTTTCCGGTGCCGGGGTGGGGGTGGGGGTTGCTGCACTTCCTGCATCTGGGCTCTTTGAGAGCACCCTGTGTGCTATGACAAACCCCTCTTTATGTGAACTGCTGTGAGCGTGCTCCTGGTCCTGGCAGCCGGACAGGGCCCTGAATAAGCCAGGGGCCTCAATGGCAGGCTAGCCCGGGCTTGGTGACGTAGCCAGTCCCACAGGAGGTTATCTGTGTTTTCTTCTCCTTGGTGTTGGTTTCACTTAATTTACATATTGAGGGGTGGTTCCCTTGTTGTGTTAAAGTGAAAGCTATTCCTGTTTCCCTGCCCCTGGGTTCTGGACACTTCCGCCCTTCCCCAGCGTGTTGCACAGACACGTGCCCTTGCTGACACCTGCTGGCAGTCTGTGAGTATTGCAGGCAAAGCCATGGGGCCGCCCGGCCCTCCTCTGCCCAGATCCGCTGGCGCCCATCCCAGGAGCCCTGACAACCACTCCCCTCACTCTTACAGACACAGGGCCCTACCCCTGCGAAGCTTACAGAAAATATTTGTAACAGTGGGATGACATATAGAGCCACTGTTTTTCCAGGAAAGGGGGGGAAGAAACAAGAGGGGAAAAGAAGGCAAAGCAACGCACTCATATTTAGTTAATCTAATAGCGAGCGCCCCTCCGACCCAACTTTCCTATCCCTTCATTCTCCTGACCTGGTGGCCACCGTAGGCGCTGCGCCGTGGCCGGTCACGAGGCGGGAGGCCATTGATCTTGCACTCATAGCAGGCTTCAGATGAAATCAGTTCTTCTTCTCCTGGCGTCTCCCGGGGCCCGGCACTGAAGCCCAGGCCAGAGACGCAGTGCCTGGGCCAGGACAAGGTGGCGGTAGGCCTTCAGGGGCAGGCTGGCAGTATCTCCCCAGCCAGCCCCTCCAGCCCCCACCCTGAGCCTCACTGCCCACGGGGGCAGGTGCTGGTGTGTAAATGTGTGGCTGTGCCTTTGCGCGTGCCCACACAAGGGATGTGCACTTGTGTGCATGCATCCCTTGGCTGACCTGGGCCTAGGTGCGAACCTGCTCACACCCCAGGATGCTGATGTGTATGTGCACACATGTGCACACTGGGATACGCGAATGCGGAGGGGTCCGCAGGCGTGCTGGCATCCGTGTGAGCCGTGTGCTCAAGTGTATTACAGAGAAGTGTGCATCTACCGGGTGGGTTCATCTGCCACGAAGGTAATTATGCCAGAATCGGGTGTGAGCTTGTGTGCACACCCATACGTGTTTTCAGGGCTCCGTGCACATGTGTATAAATGCATGTGAACACGGACCCACCTGTGTGTGTGTGTGTGTGTGTGTGCGTGCGTGCGTGCATGTGTGCGTGCTCTCGCAGGGTTTGGGAATCTGTGCCCGCCCTACGCAAGCCCCTCACCCTTGCCCAGCCCGGAAGTAGCCTTGGGGACAGCCGCACAGGAAGCCACCGGCGGTGTTGGCGCAGCCGTAGCTACAGGGGCCGCCCTGCGTGGCACACTCGTCTACGTCCTGGCAGTTCCCCGTGGCCTGGTCAAAGTCAAAGCCAGAGGGGCAGACGCAGCGGAAGCCACCCAGCGTGTTGTGGCAGGGGGCACTGCCGCAGGCCGCAGGCGACAGCACGCACTCGTTTTTGTCTGTGAGTGGGGAGGGGAGAGAGGAAACGCGGGGGGCAGGGAGTGGCCTCTGCACCCCCAGGCCCCCCGCCCACAGCCCTCCTGATCTCCACCCACTAAGTCCGGCTCCTCCTCCAGAGCCCAGGGTCAAAGTCAACCTCCATCAGGCTCCCCATCAGCCCCGGGACTACGTCTGCCCCAGCCCTGTAATTCTCCTTCCAAGCATTTCTTGGAACTTCCCAGAAATCCTAAATGGTGGCATGATCTCGAACGAGGTTTCTTCCCTGGCACTACTGACATCTGGGACCGAGCCATTCTCTGTGGTGGGGGCTGTCCTGTGTACCACACGACATTAAGCAGCATCCCTGGCCCCCACCCACTAGATGCCAGGAGCTCCCACCTCCCAGGTGTGACGAGCAAAATGTATCCCAGACACTTCAAAACGTCTCCGAGGGGGCAAAATGATTCCCAGTTGAGAACCATGAGCCTAACTCATCCCTGTCCCCACCACTAACTAGACAAGAGTCTGCTACTTGGCCCACTTCTGTATCCACAGGGCCTGACGCAAGACAGACCCCGGACAGCCCACTGCAGGAATGAGCAAATGAGAAAGCAGAGGGGGAAGCAGGCTGAGAAGGAGAACCGGCAGCAGAGGCGAAGGTGTGTGTGTGTGTGTGTGTGTGTGTGTGTGTGTGTGTGTGGTCCCCAGGGGCCAAATGCCACACAGCAGGGGAAAGATGGAAACGTAGCTGAGGATCCACCATCAGGGAAGGAGGAGGAACCAGAGAGAAGGCCACGTCAATCAGAGAGGCTGAGGGAGGAGAGCGTCTGGGAGGGGCAGGCAGCAGTGCCCAGAGCAGTGGAGGTGGAGGCGCCTGGAGAGAGTGGGCCCAAGGGTAGAGGGCGAAAGCCAGACTGTCCGGAAGGCACAAACGGAGGCGGTAAGGACGAGGCTGTCGTTAGGAGGGCTTGGAGCACAAAGAGAAGTATGCGATGGAGGAGGCTGGGGCACAGGCTAGTCTCCCAAACTGAGGGCCTCGGGAGCAGCTAAGGCAAAGATACAGCACGCGCTCCCATCTGCTACTGCCACACCCACAGCAGGCATCACCAATCAATCGCAGAACTCTTTCCTAGTGTTCACAGGTGCTGACTCAGAATCCTTCTCAGCTGGGCCCTCCAGGCCACCACTCCCAAGGAAATGGGCTTGAACCTGGCCGTGCTTTATCTGCAGCCCCCTGACTCCCCAGTCTCCCCAGCAGTGGGGACCTCATTACCTCCCAGGCCGGCCCAGAAGCACTTTAGGTCATTGTGCTTTATCCCAACATCCCGGGTGGGGGCGGTTCCTAGTTGCCTGCTCCCAACAGATTCTGATGGGGGGCCCTTGACACTCACCCACACACTGGCTCCACTGGGAGTGCGGGGTGAAGCCCTGGGGGCAGCCACAGCGGTAGCCCCCCAGCTCGTTCTGACAGCCGTGCCGACAGCGATGGGGCCCGTCACATTCATCCACGTCTGCGAGACAGAGACCGGGTGGCAGGGCTCGCCCGGTGGCCCTGGGGACCACAGCCCAGGCCCAGAGCCCTCCCAAAGCCCAGCTCTACCTTCGCAGCCATGACCTGAGCTGTCCAGGGTGAAGCCTCGGTGGCACTCACAGCTGAAGCTGCCCGGGGTGTTGAGGCAGTGCCCCCGGGTGCCACACGGGCCAGGCTGGGCCAAGCACTCGTCGTTGTCTGCAGAGGACAGGGAACGGACAGGACAGCCTAGCGGTTAGGGGATTCACGGCCAGCACCACAATGCTGGGCCTACCCAGCCCCCGGACAAGTCACTGGCCCTCTCCGTGCCTCAGTCTCCCCTTCTGTGAAATGAGATCTGTAGCGGCTCCCACATCACAGAACTGCCTTGAACGTTTGAGATGAAGCACGTATACGACTTCCTTTGAATCTTGTCTGTGGCACCTCAAAGCTGTGGGGCCCGGGGTGGCTGACTTACCCCCTGTGGGCCTGTCTCCCCAGCTGTAGCACAGAGATGGTAACACCTCCCTCACCGCGGTTTTGGGAGATTAATCCAGTCACACACAGGGCTCGGGACAGTGCTCAGCACGGGACTCAAAGATGAACAAAACCCCTTTTCCTGGGGGTAACAGCGCACTCTGTCCTCGCGGACACCGGACCATCATGACATGTCAGCCTGGATTATGGACTGAAAGTGGCTGTCCCCCTCCAGTCCAGATTGGTATGTTGAAGCCCTAACCCCCCAGAGTGATGGTGTTTGCAGGTGGAGCCTCCGGCAGGGGCTTCAGTTTAGATGAGGCCGTGAGGGTGGGGTCCTGAGGACGGGGTTAGCGCCCTTGTAAGAAGAGACACCAGAGAGCTTGCTCTCCCTGCCATGGGAGCACACCGCGAGAAGGCAGCCATCTGCCAGCGGAGGAGAGCCCTTACCAGAAACCGACCAGGCCGGCACCCTGGCCTTGGACTTCCAATCTCCAGAACCGCGTGCAACAAGTGTCTGTCGTTCAAGCTGCCCAGTCTGTGGTTTTGTGCCATCAGTGCGAGCAGAGACGGGCTGGTTACCAGACAGTGTGGCTACCGTGCTAATGGCCCATGCTGGGAGTTTAGGGAGTGAACAGTGCATCTCCAGGGTGGGGCGGGGGGAACCCTCGTTTTGGCTCCCTAGGGTATGAAGATTGACACCAGACGCCTCCCTTTGGGGACCTGGGATCTCTCTTGGGTATGAGAGACGCTGGGGACCTGGGCTCCTCAGCCACAGTGGCTCCTGTATCTGCTGCTGGTGTCATCCGTCATGCCTGAGCCGTCCTTTGAGGGGCCACAGAGACTAGCCCTGGATTCCTGCCAGGGTTTCACCAGAGAGAGGCCTCTGGCACGACTATGGTCTCTTTCCCTTGCATCCACAAAGCAGGCCAAGGGTCAGGGGGCATACTGTGGTCATATAAGTTTGATCTTCTAGTTTAATCATAAGCAAACAGAGGCCCTGAGACCCAAATCTGGCCCACTGCCTGTTTATCATAAACAAATTTTATTGGCACACAGCTATGCCCATTCATTTATGACATGTTGTCTATGACTGCTTTTGGCCTACAATGGCAGGACTATTTTTTTTAATGTTTATTTATTTATTTTTGAGAGAGAGAGAGAGAGAGAGAGAGAGAGAGAGTGCAAGTTGGGGAGGGGCAGAGGGAGAGAGGGAGAGAGGGAGAGAGGGAGAGAGAGAGGGAGAGAGAGAGAGAGAGAGAGAGGGAATCTGAAGGAGGCTCCAGGCTCTGAGCTGTCAGCACAGAGCCTGACACAGGGTTCAAACTTACGAATCATGAGATCATGATCTGTGTCAAAGTCGGTTGCTTAACTGACTGAGCCACCCAGGCACCCCAACCGTAGAGCCTTTTACAGAAAAAATTTGCAGACCCTTGATCTAGTTAGCCTAAGACCACCCACCAGGGGTATAGGCTATACAGATGTGAATCGTGAATGATCTGGAGCCCTCAATCCCTGGTAACTACGCAGTGGGGAGCCTGGCTGAGATTTTCAACTCTGTTCCAGAGAGAGAAGTCCCACGGGAGCTTGCTGGGTGTCTGCACTGGCTCACGGGCCCGCATGTGTACGTGCAAACAGCTACAAACTCATACAGATGCCACATTAAGTGTGCTCATCTTAGGAAGCAGGGAAGATAACTTGAATGTGCAGAAAAAGAGAAATGCATCTTGTTTCAAGGCTTGGAAGGCTCTTCCCCAGATGGGCACGTGACTCCCTCCTTCACCTCTGTCAGCTCTTTGTACAAAAGTCCCTTTGGATGTGGCTTCTCCTGATCCCTAGTGGAAAACTTGCAGCCTTCCTGATCTCCTTACTCTGCTTCACTTTATCTTTCTCTCATGCCATGCATCACTTTCCAACAGGCTATGGTGTTAGCTTACTGTTTGTTTGTTTTTAAATTTTTTTTAATGTTTATTTGTTTTTTAGAGACAGAGAGAAACAGAGCAGGAGCAGGGGAGGGGCAGAGAGAGAGGGAGACACAGAATCCGAAGCAAGCTCCAGGCTCCGAGCTGTCAGCACAGAGCCCGACACGGGGCTCAAACCCACGGACTCTGAGCCGAAGTCGGACATTTAACTGACTGAGCCACCGAGGCGCCCCTTTGCTGTTTGTGTCTATTTGGAGTCCCTACTAGCAGGGACAGTCCATGGCGGCAGCAAGCTTGCCTCCTGTGTTCATTGCTGCACCTTCAGGGTTTAGAACAGGGCGAGGCAAACGGCTCCTGTAGAGGGACAGCTAGGAGGTATGTGTGACTTTGTGGCAACGACTTGGCTCTGACTCTGTTATTTTAGCGCAACAGCGACTACAGACCCTATGCAAATGAATGGGCGTGGCTGTGTGCCAACCAAACTTTGTCAACAGAAGCAAGTCGGGGGCTGGGCAGGCCTGACCTGAGGGTTGGAGTCCAAAGACCTCCGGGCCAGAGCACAGCCTGGTCCACCGCAGGTCTCAGTAGGTGTGGGCTGAGTGGACTAGTGGGAGCCTGAATGGGGCCACCCATGGCTGGGCTTGGCCCCCAGGGGAGGTCTGGTTCTCCCAGGCCACGAGACACTAAAAAGCGATGGGAGTGACAGTTGCCCCTGCAACTCTGGCTTCGGAACCAACTTCCGCTCTGGACCCCGCGAGACCGTAGGAGAGAGACCCATCAGGGACCGGTCAGGGGCAAAGGTGAGCGTCCTGGGCTGAGGTCAGAGGGACTCCTCCTCCCAGGTCCCTAGGGCAAGGAAGGAGACCGAAGTCCTAGGCATTGGCAGGATGTGGGCACCAACAGAGCAGGGGCTTTCTTCTGACCCCCTCTGTGTCCCCGCCGTCTGGCACACACGGGGGGCTTGCCGCTTATTTGGAGAACAAGTGAGCGAAGGCCAGCGTCACGTGCCAGGGGCTGGGAGGGGTGAGAGGACTCACCGAGGCAGGCCTGGTGGTGCTGGGTGAAGCCGGGGGGACAGTGGCAGGTGAAGGAGCCGACGGTGTTGATACAGAAGAACTGGCAGTTGTGGTTCCTGGAGGAGCACTCGTCCAGGTCTGCAGCACAGATGTCCCCGTTGGCTCAGGGCAGGGCCCCCCGGGGCCGGGGGCTTCCCAGGGGAAAGACCCGGGGGTGAGCGGCCGGGGATGTGCCTGGGGCATTCCCGGGGGGTCGGGGACGAAGCCCCACAGGGCCTGGGGGGGGACATCACCTCTGCAGGTCCTGCCGTCCTTCTCCAGCAGGTAGCCTCGGGGGCAGGTGCACAGGAAGCTGCCCTCGGTGTTTTTGCAGAGGAAGGTACACGGCGTGGGCGCCTGGCCACACTCGTCTACATCTAGAGGGTTGGCAGCGTGTGGCGGGGGGGGGGGGGGGGGGGGGGTTGGTGTCAGACAGATGTCCCCTCCGGGGGGTCAGGGGCTGGGGTCTCCACTCAGGTCCTGCTGAGGCCTCCTTCCCAGGCCCGAACCAATCAGAATCTATGGGCTTATACAAGGAATGGACGCTTTTTCTGTAAAAAGCCAGAGACTAAACATGTTTGCCCTTGCAGGCCACATGGTTCCGGTTCCAACTACTCAGCTCTGCCTCTGTGGCAGGAAAGCAGCCACAGAGGGAGAGGAAACCAAATAGCTATGGCTGCCAATAAAACTTTATTAACAAAAACAAGCAGAGGGCCGGACTAGGCCCTTGAGCTGGAGGGAGTTTGCTGACCCCTGACTTCAATGAACACCTGCTACACGACGAAACTGAAAATCTTAGGATGCACAAAGTAACAGGAGGAAGGTTGCCCAAATGAGGTCGGGGCTGGGGGCGGGACTGGGGATGCTCTGCTTCCCGGGTTCGGCCGGAAGCGCAGGCCAGGTGCTGTGCAGAGGGAGCGGGGCCGGGCCAGGCCAGGGGATGGGGGCGGGAGGCTCACCCAGGCAGGCTGTGGCAGCAGCATCCGGCGCGTACCCAGCCTGGCAGCGACAGCGGAAGGAGCCGAGGCTGTTGATGCACTCGCCATGAGGGCAGAGGTCAGCGAGCATGCGGCACTCGTCCACATCTGGGGACAAGCAGGGCTCAGCTGCGCTGGCTGCCTCGGGTCCCTGGGGCACACCTCCACCCTTCTGGCCCTTCTGGCCGGCAGCCTTCTCCCCCGGGCGAGGCCAGCCTCTACTTGCCCCGCCTGACCCCAGGGACCCCTCCCCGAGGCTGTGAGTCCCGCCCCGGACTCACTAATGCAGCTCCTTTCACTACACCCCGAGAGCACCTGGCAGGGGGAACACGCCCTCCCGCAGCCTCACTGCAACGCCTCAGGGCACACGCACACAAATGCGGAAGCACAGGCAGAGGTACACACACACTGCACGCCAGTCACAGGCCGACACTCCTGCAGAATCACAGGGACACACGTTCCGCGGCTCCTCTGTCTCCCCCGCCCCCCCCAGACACACCCTCGTCAGACCTGGGGGTCACCGCTGCTCGCTTGGGGTGACCTGTCCCACCCTCGCTGACACGCTGGATGAGACACACTCGCGCACGCAGTCACTCACACTCGCTCGCACACCTACCCGCCCTCGTGGAACTCGCTGGAATCCAAAGCACACGGACCCACCTTCTGGCACGTGCTCCTCATGCGGCCGGCACGCACAACACACACACCAGTGAATGCACACCGGTCTGCACCCTTTTTCACACACTCCCCGATGAGCCCGCAGAGAACAAAGAACACACACACATCGGCTCACACACCTGTTCACCCGCTTGCCCGAGTTCATGCACGCGCACAGCAACGAACGGGGTCCGGTTCGCACTGGCTCGCACACCCCAGCCCCCTCTGGGACACAGACACGACCGAGAACAAATGCCCCACCCACCTTGGCCTTCGGCGGTGTAGCCTGAGCCGTGGGGGCACAGGGTCCCGTGGGCAGAGGTGCCAGGCAAGGGACAGAGCTCACAGCGGGGTCCCCAGCCCCGGCCGCCCCCACAGCAGCACTGGGCCCTAGTGACGGCCTCACCGCTGCTCGAGCGAGCCTGGCACGTGGCCTGCAGCACCTCGGAGAAGCAGGGCCCCCGCCGGACGTCTGCAGAGAACGGGGCAGGCGGGTGGGTGGCAGGCACCTGCCGTCCAGGGCCCCCTTCCCCCCGGGGTCCGGCGGCACCGAGAGTCTAGCAAGGGCTCCCAGGTGCCTCCGACACAGCTGTGCGTGGGCGCAGGGCGCAATCTTCCAGACCGCTGTCACCTAGCACTGTCAGATGCCCTCCGGGGGCCGAGGCCGAGGCAGAAGCTGCAGACCCGTAGGGTCAAGAGACGCCTGTGGCCGCAGACAGCATGGACGGTCAAGGGCAGCACGGGGGCCAGGGAACACTAGGGAGGAGGTGTGAGTGGCAGTGGGCCGGACAGACAGACAGCGGGCACAGAGCAGATGGAGGACATCCAGGGAAGTGGACAGGACAGGCTGGAGCCTGGACTGGGTGAGGAAGAGGAGGCTGGTGGGGACTCAAGGGGGCTGGCCTGCGGCTCCAGGCCGAGGCAGGGGCATAGCTGAGATGGGGCGGGGGCGGGGGTTGGCCTGGGAGAGCTGTAACCGTCGTGCGTGGCCACACTCACCGTGGCACTCAGTGCCAGCGGGGCTGGGCTGGAAGCCCTTGTCGCAGTCACACTGGAAGCTGCCCGCGGTGTTGACGCAGCGGCCGTTGGCACACAGGCGGGGCTGCGCGTGGCATTCGTCCTCATCTGGGGCGGGAGGGATGAGGCCGGTGGGGAGGCCGGAGCCCCGCAAGCCAGCCTCCCCTCACCCTGCACGCTCCCTTCCCACCACATTCTCCTGCTTTGACTCGTCTCCCCTGGGGGGGCCCTGCACCCCCAAGCACACCCATACCTGTGCAGCCCTCCCCGGAGCCAGGCTGAGGCCGCAGGCCTGGGGGGCAGACGCAGGCGAAGGTGCCGATGAGGTTCTTGCACAGCATGCCCCGCTCGTGACAGTCCTGCTGACCGTCCGCACACTCGTCCACATCTGCGGATGACCAGGGAGAGAGGGGGCCAAGGTCAGGCGCCCCGTGGCCTGGCCGCAGGCCATGGGGGCCCAGGTCCCATTTCCCTCTGTGCCCTTGGGTACCGAAAGTACGAAGCTGAGGGGTCGGGACTGTCCCAACACCCGTGTCCCCCTGCCCACGTCAGGGTCAGTGAATCCGTCCGGCCTTAAACATGGTCCCTGGAATGTTAACCCTGAGACAGCCCTGGAGGGACCAAGTCCCAGCCCAGAGTTTCTCAGCTTTGACACTAAGGACATTTGGGACCAGAGACTTCCTCGTGGTGGAAGGTCTTTCTGTGTGCTGTAGCATATTCAGCAGTATCCTTGGCTACTCGATGTCTGCAGCAGCCCCCACACCCAGCTGTCACAATGGAAACTGTCTCCAGGGGTGCCCGGGGGGCTCAGCTGGTTCAGCATCTGACTCTTGATTTCGGCTTAGGTCCTAATCTCATGGTTCGCGGGTTCGAGCCCCTCCTTGGGCTCCAAGCTGATGGCACTGACCCTGTTTGGGATTCTCTCTCTCCCTCTCTCTCTGCCCCGCCCCTGCTCTCTCTCTCAAAATTAATAAATAAACGTTTTTTAAAAACCTGTCAGGGAGCGCCTCGCGGCTCAGTCGGTTGAGCATCCAACTTTGGTTCAAGTCATGATCTCTGTGAGTTTGAGCCCCGCCTTGTGCTCTGTGCTGACAGCTCAGAGCCCGGAGCCTGCTTCAGATTCTGTCTCTCCTTCTCTCTCTCTCTCTGCCCCTCTCCTGCTCATGCTCTGTCTCTCTCTCTCTCTCTCTCTCAAAGATAAATAAAACATTAAAAAAACCACAAAACTGTTGGGGAGCCTGGGTGGCTCAGTCGGCTAAGTGTCTGACTTTGTCTCAAGTCATGAGCTCACAGTCGGTGAATCCGAGCCCTGCGTCGGGCTCACTGCTGACAGCACAGAGCCAGCTTCAGATCCTCTATCCCCCTCTCTCTGTCCCTCCCCTGCTCATGTTCTCTTAAAAATAAATAAAAACATGAAAAATAAAGGTCTTCAGGCATCACCACCACACGTCCCCTGGGAGACACAGTAAGAGCCCTCACGGTCCTACTCAGCTCAGGGCGAGCCCAGCAGCCACTGCAGAGGCCACCGGAACCACTGGCCTGCTAAGACTGGAGACCCCATTTTCATGACGACAGAAGCACCACTCACAGAAGAGCACCCACCGCACCTCACTGCCTCAGTGCTGCCCTCACTCCATTTCTTGGTGCTCCCCCTTGGGCACAGGCTCGCATTTCCCTATCTTCTCCAGGATCGAGGTATGGGGAGCCCGGGGCCCCACCTGCCTCTCCTGCACATCCTACCTCTGCACATGGCCCCGTCCTCCCTCAGGGCGTAGCCGGCCGGGCAGGTGCACACGTAGGAGCCCTCAGTGTTGCGGCAGCGGAAGGCACAGAGCAGAGGGTTCAGGGAGCACTCGTCGATGTCTGGGGAGGCCAGGGGAGGGGCGGGCTGGGCAGGGTCTGCCTGTGGGATCCACACCCCCGCCCTCAGGCCAGCCACCAACGCCCCCCATCACACGGCCCAGAGGCAGGCAGGGTCGTACCCTCGCAGGTCACCATGGGGCCGGGCTCAAAGCCGTCGGCGCAGGCACATTCGAAGCCTCCGATGACATTAGTGCAGGTGCCTTTGCCACAGGGGTGCCCGACAGCGCACTCATCTACGTCTGGCGTAGGGGGGAAGGGAGCCGTCAGGACCCGCAGAGAGCCTCCCGCCCTCGCTATCTCCACATTATCCTGTCCGCACCCCCTGAGTGCCACCGACCACACGGGCCTGATCTGGCGCAACTCCGGGCTGCACGCAGGATGCGCGTGCTCAGTGGCTTGGCCTGAGTGGGCAACTGACCTCTGCCCTGTCTGCTCCGCTCCCTCCTTCCGGGCGTGTGGGCGGGCTGGTCACTCACCCACACAGCGGATGCCTGTGAAGTCCAGGCTGTAGCCAAAGGGACACTCGCAGCGGAAGGACCCATCGGTATTGACGCAGAGGCCGTTAGTGCAGACGCCGGGGTTCTCCACGCACTCATTCACGTCTGCGGGAGGCGGGGGTGCCAGACACGGCATCGGTCACGCCCCGGCCACACTCGGGGGTCTCTTCCTCCCCTCCAGGCCGGTGCGGTCCGGGCCACCCACTGGGCAAGAAGGGAGCCTGAGACTTGGGAACGGGGGACAGACAGAGCCCAGACAGGGCTAGGCGGCTGCCAGGGGCCTTTGGCCCGTGGGCGAGGGGCTCACCTTCCCGAGAGTCATCCGGGCCTGGGACCGCCCCATGGCCGAAGGGGCAGAGCTCCTGAAAGGCAGCTGGACACCAAGAAGGGAAGGGGGTGAGGGTCAGGGGCTGCTGCGGCCCCTAGAGCCCCCCCGAGCGTGTGTAGGAAACCAAACAGATGTGGGCCGGCAGGCGGAATCTAAGGGGAGACAGACAGGGCAGGAAGCTCACCGCTGCCCTCCTGAGGACACAGCTCACAGGGGTAGTTCCAGCCCTCGCCAGGCTTCTGGCTGCAGCAGCACCGGGCCTTGGTGGTGTTGAAAGCTTTGGGCACAGAGCACTTCCCGGCCTCAAAGTGAGTGAAGCAGAAACTCTGCCGCGTGTCTGTGGGGTGACCCCCCACAGGGAAACATTAGAAAGGTCATCAGTAGTGCCCTGATCACCACCCCGGTCCCAGAGAATGGAGGGCCCAGACCCTGCCAAGTAGCCAATCAGAACCCCCCCTATTGTGGTGATTGGCTCCGAGATGGACATGTGACCTACACCGGGCCAATGAGGGCCAGCCCTGGGGCTTCTGCTGGACCCCTGGGAATCCCTTCCAGTGACACCCCACATCCACAGCTGTGCCAAGGGGAGCACACTCAGCCAGTTATTCGTGGCTCAGAAAGCCCCTTCCTGGAGAGGCGAAGCAACTGATTCCAGAGAGCCAGAGGACCTGGGACATGAGACCCAATCATCATCGTGGACCCCCCTCATCAGCCCTGGACTCCCATCAGCCTGAGAAGTCCTCAAGGGCAGGTTGGGGTCTGAACAACAAACACTGATTGGGTTGCCCTGCCCTCTGCTTTGCTGCCCCTAACCGGGGAGAGACGATGCTGGCTTGGATTGGTTGAGGCTAGCCCACACACTGGACAAGGCTGGCCTACTGAGGTGAGGCCAGCCCACGGAGGGCAACCGCAGCCACTACAGGACAACCAAAGCCCAGGAGACCAGATTAGCCCAGACTGGACCAGGATAGCCCTCCGTGCAAGTGACTTGTCTGGCGCAGAGGCTGTTTGGACTAGAAAAACCCCACCAATGCCGGGAAGCACCTCTGCCTGGGCAGAGCTTCTGGAGATCCATGCAGGAAACTGCAGCCCCCTTTTTGGGGTGGCCCCACTCTTCTCACCCTACCTTCCACCTCTTCTCAAAGAGAGAACCACAGACTCACCAAAGCAACGGTGCCTGTTGTCAGAAAGGACGAAGCCAGGTGGGCACAGGCACTGGAAACTCCCAGGGCTGTTGGTGCAGGTGCCAAAGAGGCAGAGGTTGGGTCCTTCCAAGCACTCGTCGATGTCTGGGGGGGCAGGGACACGAGCTAGGTGGGGTGCAGGCAGGACCTCTGCCAGGGTAGGACAGCCTCAGCTGTCGGGGGAGGAGGGGGCGGACAGAGTGGCAGCCCAGCCCGGGAGGGTCCGAGAACTGACAGACATGGGCCAAGGACCCTCGGGATGCAGTGAGCCAGAGCACCAGCTGGGCTGTGTTGGGGGCGGGGGAGGAGTCTTTCCTAGAAGGTATCTCTGGGACAGGGGTCATGGTCAGGAAAATTTCGTCTTTAGAGACTGACCATGTACAAAGCTAACCAGGATCGGATAAACCTAGCTTATGCTGGATGAGGTTAGCTCATACTGTACTTAGGGGAGCCCAGAGAGAATAGATCAGAAGAGAGGGTCCAGACTGATCTAGGTTAGCCCACCTGCCTAGGCCAGACTGGTGTCCAGAGTAGCCGACTCGGTACAAAGTCACCCAGACAGGGACTTACACCAGGGGGAACTCGGGCCAGACTGGTCCCTGACCACCACCCACCAAGAGTGAGGAGTTCTCTGGGCCCTGCAAGCCCACACCCATGCCCATTTTGTAGGATCCATGAAGAAGAAGCCTCTGGGCCCCAGAGAGAGACCCTGAGCCGAGCATCCGAAATAATCCTCGTAACAGAAGTTGTGTACACAGCTGTGTTGGGTGCTGTGCTAAGGACGCCTCCACCCTCACCAAGACCCCAGCTGGCATTCCCATTTCACAGATGGGGAAACAGAGGCCCAGAGAGACACTCACCGACACAGCGGTCATTCTGCACCTGGAAGCCAGGGGGACAGATGCAGCGGAAGGAGCCCTCGAGGTTCTGGCAAGTGCCTGGCAGGCAGGTTCCCGCAAGGCTGAAACACTCATTGGTGTCTGGGGAGAGGAAGGCGAGGGGTACCAGCACCAGCCTGTGACAGGGGTTCACCTGGGACTGGGACCAGCACCTGTAGTCACCGCATGATGACCAAGGGCCCCAGAACAAGTCTTCCTGGGTCCAGGGGAAGAGTTGAGACTCAGGAAAAAAGAGTCTGGGAAGGATATTCTGGGTCCTAAAGTGGGGGTTATAGGTGAAGCTGTGTGGTGTCCAAGGGAAGGAGCAAGGCCCCTAATCTTAAGCCACTTACAGACCCCCTTCATGATTTCTGTGTAATCCATGTAGCACCTTGACTATTCTTTATTTCAGAAAACTTAGGGTTTTAATTTTTTTTTAAGTTTATTTATTTTTGAGAGAGAGAGAGACCAAGCGTGAGTAGGGGAGGGTCAGAGAGAGAGGGAGACACAGAATCCGAAGCAGGTTCCAGGCTCTCTGAGCTGTCAGCACAGAGCTGGACACGGGGCTTGAACTCATGAGCTGTGAGATCATGACCTGAGCTGAAGTTGGATGCTCAACCGACCGAGCCACCCAGGCGCCCCATAAACTTAGGGTTTTTTTAAAAGCATTTTTAGTTTATTTATTTTGACAGAGAGACAGAGAGTGTGTCCAGGGGAGGAGCAGAGAGGGACAGAAAGAATCCCAAGCAGGCTCCGTGCTTTCAGTGCGGAGCCCCACACGGGGCTCGAACTCATGAACTGCGAGATTGTGACCTGAGCCGAAACCAAGAGTTGGACGCTTAACCAACTGAGCCACACAGGTGCCCTGAAAACTCAGGTTTTTAAGACAGCCTTACCCTAAACCACAAATCCGGTGAAAACATGGATGTGACGTGCTAGTTGTTATTTCCTTTTATACCTTAAAATAAGTGCATGATTATGAAATGGAACCGTCATCACTTGGAAGTATGAACTGCAGGTCAACTTGGAGCAGGGGCTGGCGGAGATGACTCCCCACTCCAAGGCGAGACTCACCTATGCAGTTCTTCCCGTCGGCCGTGAGCTCGAAGCCATCCTGGCAGAGGCAGTGGAAGGAGCCAGCTGTGTTGAGGCACTGGCCAAATCGGCACACCTGCCCCACCAGGGTGGTGCATTCATCCATGTCTGCAGAGGGGATATGGGCGGATGGGGTCACCCATAGTCCTGGGGCTCTGAGCCTCCCTTGCACTCTGTCCACAATGAAGTTAAGTTGATGGCAGGGACTTCAATTTATCATGTATTCACGTGCTAGGCTCTGTATATCCAACTATCCAATGTGGCAGATAGCAGTATTTTCTAGTACAAGCACTTAAAGCTATGAATTTGCCTCTGGGTACTCCATTAGCTGAACTCCACAAATTTTGTTGTGTTTTCATTTTCATTTAAGTCAAAAATATTTTCTAACTTCCCTTATGATTGCTTCTTTGATCTCTGGATTCTTTAGGAATATACTGTTTAATTTCCAAATATTTGGGGATATTTCGGGATGTCTTTCTGTGACTGGTTTCTAGTTTACTTCCCTTACATTCTGAGGACCTACTTTGTGTGACTAAAAGTCTTTTTAATTTTCTAAGGTTTGTTTTATGGCCCAGAATATGGGTTTTCCTGGTAAATGTCCAGGTGCACTTGAGAAGGATGTGTGTTCTGGAATGTTCTATAAATACTGACCAGGTCTCGGTGATTGACAGTGTTGTTCGGATCTTCCCTATCCTTACTGATTTTCTATTTGTCCCCTTTCCCACTGAGGGTAAGTGTTGAAGTCTCCAACCGTAACTGTGGGTTTATCTTTTTTTTTTCAGCTCTGTCATTTTTTACTTTGTATGTTTTGAAGCTCTGTTGTTAGATGCATATGTATTTATGGTTGTTATGTCTTCTCAAGGAATTGGTCTCTTTATATGATATCTTTTTCCATCTCTGCTAACATTTCTTGTTATTACTGTCTGTTTGGTCTAACATTAACATAAGTAGGTACTACTATTAATCTTCGTTTTGCAGAAGAGGAAACTGAAGCCCAGAGAGGTAAAAGGTAAAACGACTCATCTGGGGTCACACAGCTGGCAGGTGGCAAAGCTGGGATTTGAATTCATGTTGCCTGACTTTGGAATTCATGCTTTTAACCACTGTGCCCAGGTGGCAGCATCACACCACCCAGGTCTGTGCTGTCCGCTATACTGTCCATCGGCTGCCGTCAACCTAAGCATAAGCTCTAGCGAGAGACCCCCTGACGCCTGACTGTGGGGTGGGGTGGGAAATTTTGTGGTTGACTCAGTTTTAGAGGGAGCACCGACCACTGGGGTTGTGGAGTGGTGCACCACAACGCCACTGGTTGCCCCGGTGGAGCACGGACCACTGGCCCACCTGGGGCCAGACCCTTTATTTCAGAGGGGCGCCCTCAAGCTGAGGACCCACTTTTCAGGGCGGGGCAATGAGGCCCGCCCACCGGCCCAGGGGCTCACCGACGCAATCTCCATGGTGTGTCGCCACGAAGCCAGGGAAGCAGAGGCAGTTGTAGGAGCCAACAATGTTCTTGCAGGTCCCATTGCCGCATGGCTGCCGGTCACACTCATCGACGTCTGCCAGAGCAAAGCCCCCAAGCCCCGCCCGGCTCACCCAGGGCATCAGGCAGCTCAGGGACTGAGGGCCTGGCTGGACCCAGCCCGCCTCTCCTGCACCTAGCCCTGTCCGGATGGATGAGCAGTGACCCCTGGGGGGGGGGGGGGAGGTGGCTGGAAAGAGCCCCTGAAACGATTTATCACTCCCGTTTTGCAAACCGAGGCACAAGGAGGTGAATAAAGGTCATATATCCAAGGTCTTAAGTGCTAGGACTCAAACCTGGGTCTGTCTGTGAACCAGATGGATGAAAGCACTGCCCTCACAGGGGACGTGTGCACCTGAGGTCCCTCTGGCTTGGCGGCCTGGCTCTCCGGGGGGGGGGGGGGGGGGGGAACAGGAAGGGACGCTCACCGGTGCACAGGGTCTGGTCCGCCGAGGCCCGGAAGCCACGGTGACAGAGGCAAGTGTAGCTGCCCTCGGTGTCCACGCAGTCGCCATGGCTACAGATGTTTGGCATCTCCCGACACTCGTTCCGTCCTGGGGGAGGGCAGGCAGTGTGGTGTCCCCAGAACCCCACCTCCACACACACCCACACACGCCCACACACACACACGCATGGCGTTTGCCGAGCCCTTGCGTGCGGTGATGGGGAAGCCGGAACCTGCCTGGAAGCCCCCGCTCAAGCTGCTGCCAGACCAGCACCATGCTCCCATCCCCCCCACCTCTTCCAAGCCCCCTATTAACAGGTGCTCGGCATCCCCAACCACCCCATGGCACAGCCGAGGAGAAAGACCCGGATGGAGCCGTGCCCCACTCAAGTCACAGGGGCGGAGCCTAGCTTGTCCCTGCCCGCCAGGTCCCACAGCCCACCCCCTCGGCTCCCTGCCCTGCAGCGTGCTGGGGTCCCCGCTCACCCACGCAAGCCCCGCTCGGCGACAGCTTGTACCCTCGGGCGCACTTGCAGCGGTAGCTGCCAGGGATATTGATGCAGTCGGCATTCTGCTGGCAGGGGCTCTCCCCGCCGGCACACTCGTTCACGTCTGCGGGATACAACCGACAGGCAGGAGTGCGGGAGGCTTCCTTGCCAGGTCCCAACCCCAAACCCTGCCCCGGGCTTTGCAGCAGGGAATCCCTCCGGAAGTGGCCGGAACCAGAGGGAGGCTGGTTATGTGGGTTGGAGGCCCCCTGGAAAGGCATCGGCCCCACTGTACAGAAAGGGAAACTGAGGCTTATGGAGCTTAAGTGACTTGTCCAGAGGGCATGGGGTGGGGGACGAGCCTCCCACCCAGGGCTGGGGAGGCCGGGCAGGTGGCACCTTCGCAGACCAGCAGCACGCCGTTGTAGCTGAAGCCCGTGGGGCACTCGCAGCGGAAGCTCCCGATCTGGTTGATGCAGATGCCATTGGCACAGATGGCGGGGATCTCCCCACACTCGTCGATGTCTGGGGAGGACGTCGGCCGTCAGGGGCAGCCCAGCCCCAGGGAACACCTGGGGACCCTGGGCCAGGGGGCCATGCAGTCTGGGAGAAGGGGTGGCCACAAACGAGCACACTGGAAAAATTCTGCGGCAGCTGAAGTCTTTCTGACACCAGAAAGAGATCAGGATGTGGGACGAAAGACAGAGAACAGAGGGGGGTGAGCGTCTCTCAACTGAAAACACGTTCGCCGCAGCCCAGTGAGTCTGCCTCTGCCTCAAGGGGTCTGCTGGGGTCAACAGCCCCTGCGAGATCAGGAAGCCACACGGGGGAGGGGGGGGGGGCGGTCCTGGGACAATGCTGAGCAAGAAACCAGAAGCGTCCGCAGAGGAATGGGTAGCGAACCATGGTCCATCCGCATGATGGAACGTAACCCAGCCTTACAAAGGGGTGAAACACTGACATGCTACGACGTAGGCGAGCCCTGAATGCACGATGCTCAGTGGGAGAAACCAGATGCAGGAACAGATATCGTACAATCACTGATGTAAAATGCCCGGAAGAGCAAATCCATAGGCACAGAAAGTAGAACAGGGTTGCCGGGGGCTGGCCGAGGGGGAACGGGGGGTGTCTGCTCACGGGGACCGGGTGTCTTTTTGCGTGATGAAAATGTTCTAATGTAGGGGTGCCTGGGTGGCTCAGTCGGTTAAGTGCCCAGTCTTGGTTTGGGCTCAGGTCGTGATCTTACGGTTCGTTGAGTTCAAGCCCCGCGTCGGGCTCTGTGCTGACAGTGCAGAGCCTGCTTGGGATTTGCTCTCTCCCTCTCTTCCCCTCCCCAACCTCAAAATAAATGGATAAACTTAAAAATAACATGTTCTAACTTAGTGGTGATGGCAGCACAGCTCTGTGAAGACACGGAAAACCACTGAATTGTACTTAAGATGGGCGAGGCGTGTGGTATGTGAGTTATACCCCAAAAAAGCTGTTATCTATACAGTTGATGCTTAAACAGCACATGTTCAACAGCACATGTTCAAACTGCACAGGGCCACTTAGCTGTGTGTATTTTTTATATAAATATAGTATAGTGCTATAAACGTGTTTTCCTTTTTTTTTTTTTTTTTTTTTTTTTTTTTTTTTTTTTTTTAATGTTTATTTATTTTTAGCGAGTACAGGTTGGGGAGGGGCAAAGAGACAGGGACAGGGGATCCAAAGCAGTCTCTGGGCTGATAGCAGCAAGCCCAATGCGGGGCTCGAACTCACGAACTGTGAAATCATGACCTGAGCCAAAGTCCGATGCTCAACTGACTGAGCCACCCAGGCACCCCTCCTTATAGGTATCCTAGTAACATTTTATGGACTGTGGCTTACTTTATTGTAAGAATGCGGTATACAATACCTGTAACATATCAAACGTGTTAATCTACTGTTGACCTCATCAGCAAGCCTTCTGGTCATCAGTAGACTACTAGTTAAGTTTGAGGGGGGAGTCAAAAGTTATATGCAGATTTTCAACTGCATGGGGTTCTGCGCCCCAAATCCTCGTGCTGTTCAAGGGCCAACCGTATAAAAAAGGAATCCAGAAGCAGACTAAGTGCCCATCCATGGGGGGCTGGCTGGGGACCTGGGGCATGTCCACACGTGGAATACTACAAAGCAGGACAAGAGGGGGGCACTGCAGTCAGTCACTTGTCTGGGTCTTCACGGCTCGTTGGTGGCCAGAGAAAAGTGAGTCGCAAACCAGTATGCAGGGAATTATAGAATGAGAAAATTTCAAACTCCCCAGAAAACAATGCCGTGCATTCTCAATGGGGACCTCTATGAATACTGAAATGCACGAAGAAGGAACTAGAAATCCTCGGGGCATACAGCATGGGAACCTTGGGAGTGTGAAGGAGATTAGGTTTGATGTGGTAACGGCAGGGGAAGAAGATCTTATCTGCCATGCCCCGGTTGTTTAAAATAAGGAGAACACATCCTTATTGGGATGAAAACAGCCAGAAGTGGGTTCATCAGTTCCACACCACACAGCTGAGCTGTGGCCTTCCAGGGATTAAACTGCACACAACCTTGTTTGGCTTAGAAAGGAAGGCCATTCTGACACTTGCCACCATGTGGACGGACTGAAGGACACCGCGTGCAGTGACAGAAGTCGGTCACAGAAGGACACGTCCTGCGTGACCCCACTCACAGGAGGTCTTTAGAGGAGTCCCGTCCGCAGAGACAGAGTGGAGATGCTGGGAGCGAGGGGTGGGGCAGAGGGCAGGGGCGTCCGTGTTTCATGGGACAGAGTCTCAGTGTGGGGCGACGGAAAGTTCTGGAGACAGATGGTAGGAATGGTTGCCTGAGAGTGTGAGTGCGCCTGATGCCGCTGAACTGGACATTTAACAACGGTTACGGTGGTAAATTTCATGTTATACGTAGGTTATCAGAATTTTAAAAAATGATTAATAACAATAAAAATACTCTTTTTTTTTTTTTAATAAAGGGAACTATTTGGGGACATAACTCCTGGCCTGGTCTGGGAAGGCAGAAGTGTGGGCATGGGGCGGGGGTGGGTGGAAGGGGGAGGTCAGGGCCCTGGGGACAGAGGGACCTGGAGGCTGTCGGCAGGGGGACACAGTCACTCACCAAGGGGCTTCCCCGTGTGGATGTCAATGACGAAGCCGGGGGCCTGGTTTCCGCACAGGACCTGGTAGTCCACTGGGCAAAGGAGGACAGGGCAGAGGGTGCTGGGGCTGCAGGCTCCCAGGAAGGACACCCCCTCCTCTTCCTGATCCCCGCCCATGGCCTCCTCCAACCCTTGTAGCCCAGCCCTCACCCGGCCTCTGACAACTAGTCTCTCTGCCTCCCACCCGCTTTCACCAGCACTGGAAGAACTACAGGCAGCCACCCACCCGCGCGGCGTGACCTTCCAACACAGAGACGCAGAGACGCGACCTCTCTCATCTACGCGTGAGTGCCGGTGGCCACACCCCACTGCCCTCTCCGGAACAGGCAGACTCTTCAGTTTGAATTTCAAGACCTTCACCCCCCAGCCCCGCCTTTCCAGCAGCGACTCCTGCCCTCCCGTTGCACTGATTTCATTACACGTCTGGAGGGGCTCTGCTCTCCACCGTCCATCCATCCCACATGGGAACTTTGCACATGCTGTTCCTTCTGCTGTTCCCTAGCAGAGCCCACTCCAGCCTCGAGGACTCAGGGCGGCCACAGGGAAGGCTCCCATGGGCTCCCTCCGACCCGCCACACTGGCACCAGCCGCTGATGGAGCCACCCTTGGGCTTCCCCGGGGCAGCCCACCCTGCCTAGTTGCATCCTGTTGGCAATGCCGAGATGCCGCCTACCAGACCGCGATCCCCAGGTGGGGCAGGTGTCTCTGGGCCCGCCAGGTGGACACGGGCAGGTATTTAGGCAGCGGCATCTTGCCACCTTTCCCCAGGTCCCCGCCCTGGCCGTCACTCGGCCTTCTACCCGCGTCATCGGCTAGTATGGACCTCTGCCTCGTCTTAAGCCACCTGCACCTCAGACTCAGGTGCACGAGATCCGAGCAGGTACCTAAGTCCCAGCACCCAAACCAAGGGTGACATGCGATCTGTCCTGACAGTCTCTTGACCAGAGCTGGCTGTTTGCAGCTCCCTCCCAGCCTGCACAGCTCAGGTCTGCCCTGTTCTTGCTACCTAGAACGCAGACCAGGCCCACCACCCAGCAATGCCCAGTAACGATCCCCTCTCCATTGCCCCGCACGGGATGGACACCCACTGCCCCCCAAGTTCATGTCCACCCAGAACCTCTGAGTGTGACCATCTGGGGAAACGGGGTCTTTGTAGATGCAATCCAGAAAAGATGCGGACACCCTGGCTTAGGGTGGGCCCTGAATGCAATGACCGGTGTCCTTATAAGAAAAGGAGAGACACGCAGACACTTGGAGAGAAGAAGCCACAGGAAGACGAAAGCAGAGATGGGGGACAGAGCTCCAAGCTGGGAACACAGGACGCCCAGAGCCACCGGAAGCTGGAGGAAGCAAAGAAGCACTCTAACCTGGAGCCTCTGGAGGGGGCACGGCCTCGCTGCCACCTTGGCTTCGGGCTTCTAGCCTTCAGAACTGGGAGAAAATTAATTTCTGGGGTTTTTAAGCCACCAAATTTGTGGCAATTTGTTGCCACGGCCCGAGGAAACTATTGGTCTCCGTCAGCCGGGGCTGCCATGACAGAATACCACACACTGGGTGGCTTAAACAGCAGATGCGTATTTCTCACGGTTCTGGAGGCTGGGAGTCCAAGACCAAGGTGCCGGCAGACTCGGGGTCTGGTGAGAGCCGCCTCCCGGTTCAGAGGTGGCTGTTTTCCTGCTATGTCCTCACATGGTGGAGATCGCCTCCCACACACGTCTTCTCGGAACGGCCCCCATCCCATTCAGGGGGCCTCCTAATCCCCTCCCCAGGGCCCCTCCTCCTAACACCACCGCCCTGAGGACCGCGGCTCCAACGCGTGAGTTTAGCAGGGGACACATTCAGCCCATAGCATGTGGGAACGTCCTTGTTGTCCACTTTCAATCACTGCCCCACTCCTGCGGCTCTTTCTGATTCCTGGGCTGGCCGCTAGATCATTCTACCAGCTCTCTTTCCAGCTGCCAGCATGGTCTGCTGCTCAGTTCTGCCTCCAGCCCTTTGCTCGTGCTGTTCCCTGCCCGCAATACCCTTCTTCATCCCAAACAGTGTTTCAGCCGCTTTTCCCAGAGCTTCCCCGGGGTTGCACCTTCCGCTGCTCATGGGGCCCCTGGTGCCTCCGGCCAGTTTTGCTTTCCTCCCTGGCCCCAGGTACTCACTGACCCTCCCCCCAAAATAGTCTGTGAGTCTCCGAGGACCTTTACCACAAACGTAAACTTCACTGATCCATTTTGAATCCCCAAATCTGCAACATACAAGGAAGGATGCCTCGCCCACCCCAAGGCGGATGCTTTCCATACGCCACCTAGGATGTATTTTCAACTCCTTAGCCCTCATCAGAACAATGTAGGATGAGAGCTAATCTGGGCGCCCCAATTAAGGTGCGCCTCCTTAAATACTGCACTAAAAAGGAGGAAGCTGGAAAGAAGGGGGCAGGGGCGGGGGTGTGGAGAGCACTCACGGCTGGCAGGGGTGGGGCAGGCCTCGCAGGGTCTGTTCCAGGCCTGGCCAATGTTGTATGAGCAGCAGCATATCTTCCGGGTCATGTTAAAGGCCAGTTCATTCTGACACGTGCCGTTATGGTGCCGGAAGCAAATGCTCTTCCTCATGTCTGCAGTTCCGTTAGGAAGAGGAGTGTGGGTAAAAGATAGCCAAGAGAGGAGAAGAAAGAAGAGAGGAAGAGAGAGCCATCAGACGGCTGGGAACTCATTCACGGGTCCAGCTGAAAAATACTGGCTTGATGCCTCTCCCCCAACACACATGGGGTGCCTTTTACATTTTAGATTTTGTTGGGCAGTGCACAACCTGGACAACCATTCATGACAGCCCTGGGCCCCCAAATTCTGCATCTTGTTCTCTGCTACTGACCAGCAACTCAAAAATACACTCACCCTCCTGCTCTCTACTCCCCTACACACAGCTCTCCACACTCTTCCAAGGCTTGGAGACTCCTAGGAGTCCTTCCCACACCCAAGTGCTTTTCCCACAACTGCCTATCTCCCCAGTCATCACACTTTGTACCCATGCAGTTGTTGCCACCGTTGACTTGCAGGTACTCCGCAGGACAGACACAAGTGTAGTTCCCCAGGGTGTTGTAGCAGGTACCGGGGCCACAGATGCCCGGGTGTGCATAGCATTCGTCGACGTCTGCAGGGGAGGGAGGGACAGCATCTAGCAGTTGTCTGGGTAACTCCCAACCCCAGACCTGGTAGAGTCACTTCATTATGGGCTTGAGCTCAGTGTCAAGATTAGCTTAAAATGCACAGGCATTTCAGTGACAGGGAAAGATCCGACATGATGTTAAATGAAAAAAAAGAAAAAGCTTACTATGACCTCACTTTTTTTGTTTTCAGAGAGAGAGAGAGAGAGAGAGAGAGAGAGAGAGAGAGCATGTGTGTGAGCATGGAAGAGAGCCAGAGGGAGAGAGGGAGAGAGGGAGGGAGGGAGGGAGGGAGGGAGAGAGAGAGAGAGAGAGAGAGAATCTTAAGCAGGTTCCACATTGACCATGGAACCCAGTGTGGGGCTTGATCCCATGACCCTGGGATTATGACCCGAGCCAAAATCAACAGTCAGATGCTCAAGCGACTGAGCCACCCCAGGCGCTCCTGACCTCACTTCTATTAAGAAAAAAATATGACCTGGGGTGCCTGGGTGGCTCAGTCGGTTAAGCGTCCGACTTCAGCTCAGGTCATGATCTCGGGGTTCATGAGTTCTGGCCCCGCATCAGGTTCTGTGCTGAGAGCTCAGAGCCTGGAGCCTGCTTCAGACTCTGTGTCTCCTTCTCTCTCTGCCCCTCCCCTGCTCATGCTCTGTCTCTCAAAAATGAATAAACATTAAGAATTTTTTTTTAAGTGTAACAAGCATTCTCAGCTAGTGAGCTATATAAAAACAGACAGTGGAATATTAGCATTACCACCAAAAATGGCAGAGTATGGGACATCAGCCTCTACTCCTGCACAAAACTATCAAGCTGGCGAAAACTGACAAAATCGACTTTTGCAGGAGTCTGGAATCCAGTCAAAAACTTACAACAACCATGGAATCTGATATGTAAGCTATCCTAAAAAATCTACAGAACAAAGGGGCGCCGGGCAGGCTCAATCTGTGGAGCGTGCGATTCTTGATCTCAGGGTTGTGAGTTCAACCCCATGTTGGGTGTAGAGATTACTTAAAAATAAAATCATTTTTTTAAAATGAGTAGAAGTTTTACTTCATTTTGAGAGAGAGAGAGAGAGCACCGGTGGGGGAAGCACAGTGAGAGGGGGACAGAGGATCAGAAGTGGGCTCTGCCTGAGAGCAGTGGGTCCGATGTGCGGCTCAAACCCGCAGAAGGTGAGATCATGGCCCAGGCCAAAGTTGGAGACTCAATTGACCACCCAAGTGCCCCACTTAAGAATAAAGTCTTAATGGGGCACCTGCGTGGCTCAGTCAGTTAAGGGTCCAACTTTGACTCAGGTCGTGATCTCATGGTTTGTGGGTTCAAGCCCTGCATCAGGCTCTGTACTGAAGCTCAGAGCCTGGAGCCTGCTTCAGATTCTGTGTCTCCCTCTCTCTCTGCCCCTCCCCTGCTCACGCTCTATCTCTCTCTCAAAAATAAATAAATATTGGGGCACCTGGGTGGCTCAGTTGGTTGAGCATCTGACTTTGGCTCATGTCATAATCTCACAGTTTGTGGGTTCAAGCCCTTCATTGGGCTCTGTGCTGACAGCGTGGAGCCTGGAGCCTACTTTGAGTTCTGTGTCTCCCTCTCTCCTGCTCATGCTCTCTCTCTCTCAAAAACAAACATTAAACAAAATTTGGTGGGGGGGGGGTTGCCTGGGTGGCTTAGTCAATTAAGCATCCGACTTCAGTTCAGGTCATGATCTCGCAGTTCACGAGTTCAAGCCCCTTATCAGCTTCTGTGCTGATAGCTCAGAGCCTAGAGCCTGGAGCCTGCTTCCGATTCTGTGTCTCCCTCTCTCTTTGCCTCTTCCCTGCTCGCACTCTGTCTCTCTGTCTGAAAAATAAATATTCGGGGTGCCTGGATGGCTCAGTTGATTAAGCGTCCGACTTTGGCTCAGGTCATGAACTGGCGTTTCATGGGTTTGAGTCCCGCGTCGGGCTCTGTGCTGACAGCTCAGAGCCTGGAGCCTGCTTTGGATTCTGTGTCTCCCCCTACCCTGCTCGCACTCTCTCTCTCTCTCAAAAATAAATAAAGATTAAAAAAATTAAAAAGTAAATAAACATTAAAAAAAGCTTTTAAAAAATAAAATAAAATATAAATAAATAAATAAATAAAAATTCTGCTTCTGACAGCGTCCAAAAAATGCAATGCTTAGGAATAAATTTAACCAAAGAGACACAAGAGTTGAACACTGAAAATTACAAAACATCACGGAAAAAAAACTAAAGAAGACTGAGAGAAACGGAAAGACCTCCTGTGTACATGGATCAGAAGATTTAATACTGTTAACACAGCAATACTCCCCACGGCAATTTAGAATTGCCATGCAATCCCCATCAAAACCCCAATGCCTTCATTTTTGCAGAAATGGAAAAGTTAGTCTTAAATGCACATGCAATTACATAGGACCCCCCCCCCCAGCCAAAACCATCTTGGAAAAAGAAAAACAAA